ACCTGCGAATATTGCGATGCATTTTTATGCAGTCCAACATAGTAATTCTTTTCCTTAAAGTCAAACACTAATTCCTCAAAAACCACTGCCACATCGAAAATAATAGTATCATCTTTGTCGTCTGATGTTGTGCGTATGAATGCGATCTCAAGTCGACACAAGGTATATTTGTTTGGTACTGAAGTCTTAAGTATCAAATCTGAAACAAAATAACAGCGACGTAACATAAAATCATGCATTGTACTGCTTGCATCCTAAACTTTAAACTAGTTGTTGAAGCCAAAACATTTTTTTTTATTTAATGATTAATATAACCGTAATACATCGGAAGGAAATGTAAAACGAAATTACGTATTCATGCTCATTAATATTAAATATTGTCTCTTTTCATCCATATGACATAACCATATTCTTGTCTATAAAAGTTATCTGTGTTGATAATCACTAGCCACACACCCACGCATCTAAGCATACACACTGATTGTATATCATTATTATGTTGCACACTGTTGTCCAGCCTTGCAAGGTTCACCACGATTAATTTGTATTGCTCACAAAGTAACTTGTAAGGCTATTTCATTACTTGTCAATACTGCTTTTGTAATTCTAGTAATTACGTTCTGTGATTACGTAATTGTCGAAAATTCATGAAATCCAATAGGCATATGTGTGACTCAAAAGGCGAACGTCTTGACATTTTCTGGGGGTCATTTTGTCATCATAATGAAAATATTTGTCACTGGCGTACTTTTGCCAAGGTCTTCATTGACAACTAATTGCATGTTTAAGAGAACTAATCGAGAAATTCACAGTATGTGTCACTTTGTGAATAAAGTATTACTGTAACACAGCATTTTCTCGAATTCACACGTTATCTAATCTGCAATATATTTGGTGTTTACAAACTGTACAACTGTATATTTTGAAATAGAAAGTTTAATTTTATATAGTTACAAATGTCAGATTGCATCATTTCCATTTTTCAATATCGCGGCAACTTTGAGTTTTTAGGTTCATTGTTTCTGTGTAAAATATTTTGGTGCCCTGTTCACATGACCTAATTTTTTGCGTTTTTCAGAAATCAATTTTGCAGGTTGAGGTTCACATTTTCACCAGTTGTAATATTTGCATTCACTATTCGCTGTGTACAATAGGACATATTTGACCTTCAGTTACACAGCAACATAAAAAAACTATAGAATATACCGCCCTCTAGTGACACAACGCTACTATGACGTAATACATGTGAGAGAAAGACGTTCACTTCCATTTTTGAGCTGCAGTCGTCCAACAATGACAGTTTCTAAGAGATGTTATTATATCTTAAATCACTAATCTACACATGTTGACGTCACAAAAGTGCTCTGTCGTTAGAGGGCGTGACTTATGGAAAAGGTATATTGTAAATGTATCCTTACTCGGCTTAATGTACGAAACAGTATGACCATCTGTGTACGCATTGCGAATGAGTAGTTCACCGATTTGGAATACGCCACACTTGTCATTAAGTATAGTCACATTATATTCATCACTACGAGTGAGAGATTCGTCGCATATGTGAAGCTCATCAGTGGGCACCACGTCTCCCTGGAAATGAAACATTTCATCATTGGGTATTATGACGATGATAACAGAATTGACGATCAGGAGACGATTACTCTCCTGATGCTAATATGATATCCATAAATATACTGTTTATATGTTATAATCGATGCAAATGTCAAATGTGTATAAGATAGTACTATCCTGAAATTCGGATGATATACATCAATTCTCCAATATTTTATCATGACGTTTGAGCTACATAATTGAATACAATTTGAATATTTGGGTATCAGGGGTGCTATTCACTCGCAATAATTACGCAATGATTTATTGGCAACGATAAAAGTCATTTAAAAAGCAGTTTAAGTGGGTTTGATTTACTAGTATTGAGTGAATATTAAATTATCTACACATGTATATGACAGTGCCAAGGTCACCAAGCAATAATTTGAAAATGGTTTAGCGTAGCCTTGTTGGTTGGAATGAAATAATAGCAACTAAAAAAGTAAATATCATCTATCTTTGACACAATTTAAAAATCTAAATTTAAACAACTCAATGCGCCACACTCTCCACGCAGCGCGCGTTCGAATTTTATTTAAAGTAGGGGAGTCGTTCCCTGCGCATGCGTCAGATGGCCATAGCGTGTTATTATTTACAAATAAGCGTCTACCCATGAGCCTTTGCGTTTTAGCGTGTGTTGTTATCGTCGATTGAGACTCAATTCCCGTGCGTGCGCAGGTGACGACCCTCCCGCTTTAACTAAGCAACGTATTTTATACGCGTTGTATATGTCGCATGGGGCGTGAAATAAACACAGCGCAGTGCGTGGACTGATTCGAACTGGGAGCAGATGCTTCTTTGCTGTTCAATTCCCGCAAGATTTACTATTATTGCCCCTGAATGTGCCAGGTACGGCGGATTTAGATGTGCGTTATTTTGTAACCATGGTTACTACATATCATTATATACACTATATCGCTTAATTTTGCCACTTTTCTACGATTTCAACATGTAGGTGTTAAATGTCGCCATTCCATACTGTTATTATGTCAATGTCACGGTTATTTTAAGGAAAGCCGTTGCTTGATAGTTAGTCTCATTCTGTTAACCTATCTACACACGTATAGTCACCAAAATGTACGGCGTCCGTCGTCTGGAGATTCTATTATATAAATGGCCAACAGTATTTTTATACACTATAAGCAGTCGATATTTTCCGACTCATGGATCATAACACTTGTTTTGTGTCACTAGTAGATTGACAATTACCTTGATAATTTCATAACAGACTACTTAATGTATCGAGAAAGGTACACCAAGTATATACTGCTTACGCGATACTTATTTGTTCAATTTTCATAGGAAATGGTGGCCATACTTATCCCAAGTCGTATGTGAACAGAAATTACTAAATCGTATATTTAGTGGGAATAAAAGACCGATGTTTTTGAATATTGTCATATACTATTGGCGGATTCCATTGTCGTCGAAGTACGCCATCAAATACACCATTTTGTTCACAAAGGATCTATTAGATTATAAATTCTTACTTGATATTCTAGTGTTAACATCAATGTCATTATGAAGCTTATTAAAGCTATCGTCTCTTGGGCTTACATTGTTTGTATTTATTAAAAACTGTAATACCTATATTAGAAAATTAGTGTAGACGTTTAATTAAGATTCCTTCGTGGAAAATGTTCAAATTATTCTCAGTGAATTGTATACAGTCTTAGAATATAAACAAATGTATATATATCCCATAATATTATCCCAGATTGAAAATGGACAGCACATTCAAACAAAACTGCTTAACATACCTTGAGTCTCTTCTTCCAAACAGTCGATACCAGCTGTCTCGTTGCGTTGTCAAGGGTACACGTCTTGTGTGAATTATAAGGCAAAACTATTACCGTGACTTCTATCATTGAGTACTGTGATGTCAGGTTAACAGCTTCATCAAACACCGTGCAGACAATGTTTACTCTGTATGCCGGCAGTTCTGGGGGCGCAGTAAAATGAATAATACCGCTTGATTCGTCAATAGAAATAGGAGTTCTTTGATCTGTAATTCAGAGATACATGCCATCAGTGCGTGATTGCTATCCTAGGGTTCATATAGGGTTAACAGATTATAGAATGTGTGCAACTGTTTAAGACAGTTTTTTGTGTATAATTTTTAGTGTATATTAACTTTATAATTGTTTTGAACCCTTGAATGTATTTTTAAGTTTAACCATGTTGTCGCAATTCATTACTCGCTTGTGGGAAATAGAAAACGCGATACAACTCTCACTTTCTACTCTGATGAGCGGAGCTTAAATAAATGATACAATGCGCATGACTATACTATTGCAAACAGAAATTGGTATTCGGTTAATACCGTAACGTTGGCGGGCCATTTTAAAATGAGCAACAGTCAATATCACGAATACCTATGTTCTGTATTATTACCACCGGAAACATAATAATGTTTAAAGGGTGGTTGTCGTCACACAGCGCGTGTTCGAATTCCATGTAAATAAACAATGTATTTTTCATATGTCCCTATGAGTCCCATATGGAACAGGACGCGACGCGACGACCACCGACCTTTAATGTGTTAAATTTGTTAAAGGTCATTAACTCCCGATTTTGGAAAACATCGTTCTGGCAAGCATCTTACTCGGGTATATTTCAACACTAATTAGTGCTGCATTGAGGGCAAACTATCATACGTGTGTTTGTAAGCGTGTCTTTGTATTCGTTGTCTCGATATGAGAAACAGATGAAGTCATTGAAATAATCAACAAACCCGGCAATATTGACTTGATGTGATCCAGGAACAGGTGCAGCTTTGTCGCATTGTATTGTGGGCAATGTGTGTGGGAGTAACGAACACTCTAAGGCTCGGATGCCCCCTAAATTCGCAGCTGGTGTTCGTGTAACAAACACCCTTCCAAAAAATATTATTCCGTTATATAACGTCCTTGGATTGTGTATGGGAAATATTGCCCAAGGCTAAAGCTATGAGTACAAACACGTGGTATGGTTGTTATTTTTGTGTGGTGACTTGAAACGTGAGGATAACATGATTCAAGGGAGGATTGATTCGAATTGGTTCTCCGTACGAATCACGCCATTTCAAACATATTTCAATAATTTTATAAGATCATATGACATACTATGTCATCGCGGTGGATACTAGTTTTCCTGGTTTTCGTGTTGTGTATTTCAACAACAGACACCAAGCCGCACATAGAAATAGTTGGTGTGTAATTGAATATTTCAATTATTAAACATGATGATAATTATCTGGACACGCACTGCTAATGCGTACATGGGACAACAATTGCAAATGGAGTTCAACTACCGTAACGACAAAAACACGATTCGTACCTTGTCCGTAACTATGTAACACGCACGAACTACACAAAAAATGGTGGCCAAATTTACTGTTTCACCAGTAGCTATAGGTCGACCGACGAGCTTTGAATTCGAGTTGTGATTTTCGGTTAGTTAATTGTAAATAATGACGATATTGCTTAATGCTGCCGTCGAATATTGGTATTACGAGAAACCTGTTCATCCACATCAATATAATATACCCACTTACGGCTGAGCTCGTATATACGACTTAACAAGAACTAGACGAGAATACGTTCAATAATTTATAGTGGAAATACGAATTATGCAACAGTTATCAACGGCGATCTATGGAAGGACTTCACGTTTGTTAAATGAGCAGGCTTAACATATATGACTGCCCTGATGTTGTGGTATTTGCGCATGGCGCGTTCGAATTTAATGTAACTTCACCAAATATGTCGAATGGGACAGATATCGAACACTCGTCGCGAAAAACGCCAGCCATCAGAAGAAAAAAATGCTTGGCAAATTCGTAAAATATATTTATGTTAGGAAATTATTCTAACTATTAATCCCGGCTTTACTTGTTAGAGAAAGAGAGATTAGCTTTCCGCGGCTTCATCTTGCAGTAACACCGAACAGTTAGAGAATGATGTAGACCGATTTTTATTGTTGAAAGCAGGTTACTCGTACTTTGAAAAACGCCGTAGGTAACCACCTAGCTAAGCAGATATAATGCCGGTGCCTGTACAATCTTACTCCTTATCTCAGACGAAATGTATATTTTCTTGAAAAATGCAGACCTTTTATGGAACAGCAATGTGTAGACAATACTACATTTATTTAGTATAGTTGTGATTTTGTGTTGTGTTCCGTAACACATGTTAGACACATAACATATTATTCAGATTCCGCATCACAAAAATGGGGACCTCATTCTGAGGCACAGCTTAGCAAGGAAAATTCTCACGGAAGAGTGTGTTTGCTGAAACATCAACTCACGACAGACAATTACATCATCCATGGAACTGTTCGTGTGGAATTATTCAATCTACGCTATTTCATTTCACAATTCTGGATTTAAATGCAACACATTGAACATAAGATACCGTACCAGATACCACGCTGTATGTCTTGTTTGTTGCTTTGCATTTCTCATTACCAATCATCGAACTTATCTGAGCAAATCCCAGCTTTGTAGAATTGTCGCCTTCTAGTAAAAAATAGGTCTCTCTGTCTGCGTAAAAACATATAGGGCATGTTGGGAGATCTTGACTTGGTGTAATCGTCACAGATATTCTTGTTTCTGCTTCTTCGATTAAAGTCAAATCCGTTCTCGCTGTGACCTTAAGATTAAAAGTGCACCCTGTAAAAAATAACACTAATCATTATATGCGTTTACGATACTTCGTAGAAATACGCATGCTATATACATTCAGCAAAACAGCAGTTGACTCTAGTTTGAACATAATATTGTACAGAAACAGAATAACATGTGAGAGGCATAGAAATACACAATTTATGTTGTTGTTTCATTTATCTTTGATGCCATTAGACAATTCCCATGCAAAGACATAAAACAGGGCACACTTTTAGTGCATATTATTTCCCAGGGACTGAATATTCACCTTTACACTACTCTCACAAATTATATTTGATATTCACGCCCAGATTAAAAGGCATTATGGCTCAAGTATAGTTTTGATAATCTGTTATATTTGCTATGTTGATATTCAAAATGGTAATTATTTATCATGCACATTAAACCTCGGTAGAAATATTATTATAGTAATAATGAAACATTAGTAATAGTTCAAGGGCACATTTAATAATTATGTCTAACTGTATGTTGAAATAAAATAACGTAATAGTATTTTAAAGTGCTTGCGCTATTACGTATGTGAATATACTTGTTTGGACTAAACTAAACGTACATTTTTATAAGTCCCCATTCGTACATCCGAACTTGGACATCCATGCACAGAACCTACTCAAATTTAGCCCAAAGCTAGTGTCTTATCTGGTACATTAGCATATGCATTGATTTTGTGATACGATCTGTTTTTTCTATATTTAACTGAAACGCACTTTTTAGACATACATACTTCGTTCGTTGCAGTGCTTGATATATTATTTTTCGAATTTTATTTGACGTCTTGTATGACGGATTTAGCACATAAACGTTTTCCAACCTACAATAGACACACGTTAAGACGCTTATTCACGTAATGTTTTTCTAGACTGTGTGATCGATTTTTTTTTAAATGTCGACTGGTCCCCATGGACCATGTGTAGACAAGGAACGTGTTAAACCCTTCATCGGTAACTATCCCGCCAGCATTATGATGGTGTTTTTTTGTTTTGTTTTTATCTGGGATTTTATCTGATTTCAACAGTCAGTTTAAATCAATTGGTTAATTAATCACCATTAAAAGGGAATATACTCGTCTGTGAAAGGTTACAATTATTAACAATGATGATGAACATGTCAAAAACAGATTATGGTTGTATACACATGCCGTTAACGAATTCGGACACGTGTAATCCAGTGATTTACCATGGACAATGCAGGCTCGTTGGTAGTTTCTTGTAGACAAACTTTTCCTATAGAAGCACTATGATAAATGACCATGACACGGCTTTGTACGGACGAAGATTCGGATTTGAACAAAGCTTCTTTAATACGTTTTTTAATACGTGACATTTAAATTGGTAAGTTGTTGATTCCTGAGACTTTTTGAAGTTTTAATTTAAACAATATCGATGGCTCTATTGCAAAACAAAAGATACACTATGGATTTCAAATACTCCATGATGACGAATACATACTTTGTGATCAACTAGTAGCACAAAACTGGGGAAGATCCATCGAAGAAATACAACGTACGGCAAAAGCATTTTTAGTATTAGCTCTCCGAATGCTCATAATAGGTGATTTTCCGTTCAACTGCGCGATCTCGCAGGTTGCGTAAAAGACGCGCGCCGAACGTCCGCCGCAAAAATCGAACGATTTGATTTTGAACACGAATTTCGTTATTTCGTAGCGCACATCGAATGGCCGATCTTTGACAATGGAATATTGCGTTTGAATACCCATACTTCATCGAAAGTGCCCATCATCAAATGTGTACAGTACATTATTAAGCATGGAAATATCCCTCAAAATACCTTCACGTTTGTCGAATCCCACGCGATCTTTGTCGCCACTACGACGCTACGACCTTTGTTAGCCCTGTTTCTACGTTCGATTTCACGGATAAAGCGGGATCTCGCAGTGAACGGAAAATGGTCATTATTCAGTGGCCTTAGCATTTCTATGGTGAGATTATTTCTTAAATTTGTGCTCGGTGACAATGAATGAAAAGGTCGTATATTATTATTGAATCATAATATACTTAAAACAATTGACAATAATATGATAATTTAAATATATTGTAGTAAGACAATAAATTTCAATTATCAATACAATATGAAGCCCCCCCCCCCCTCAATTCATTGCATATGTGTACTCAGTAGTGCAAAATGTGAATTTGGTTCAAATTGCTCCAAATCTACACCGTATATGTAAGCATAAAAATATTTTATTTAATGTGGTGTATACTTTAATCTCACCTTGATAAGCTGACAAGTTCGAGCTAAGTGAAGATAGTTGAAGCAATCCACCTCTTACGGTAAACACCACATCATCCCTACAGTTGTTATTATAGTCTGCACATCCCTCTGTCGACTCGCAAACAACACTGTAAGTTAATAGCATCGGCAGAAAGTTGGGAGGAAAATCTTGTCCGTCGTAAATGGCGTATATCTTTATGATTGGTATCTCAGGGCCCCAGTCTGTTGGAATACGAGCATTGTATACCGCTTTGGGGAAATATAAACCACATCCTGTCAAGAAAAATATAATATTTGGTTGGTAAATTTTGGTATTTGGTTCATAAAAAAACACAACTTGTCTGACAATGTTTTATTCATAAGAGCCAAAGGGATAATACGTGAACAATAACACAACAAAGTCAGTATATGATCGATCAAGTTGGCTCGCACATGTGACACTTTCATTTGTAGTATATTAAATATTTCATTGACTCTTCTCAGGTAGTGAACGTACGTAGGCGTAAGCACTTGCTTTTCAAATAAACTGAATGTATTTCACGTGTATTCAACTAGTGTCTAAAGACAGTCATTATTGGCATATGACAAGTGTATTTATTTGATTAATGATCATTTAGTATTTGTATAGATATTACACGGCGATACATTAATAGGTTCGCCCGAAAATATTATTCATCATTGCGTAAATAGGTTTATATGGCGACACAGAAAATCGTTTATATGTTGTGACTGCGATTTTATAGATAGATGAAGAATTCTGTGAAGAAACTATGGACAAGATGTCGTTTTATTATCTATAATACGTAAGAAACACGCAAACAATTATTACGTAGATGTAATGGGTTGTGGTTGGTTGGTCTAAAGTGTTCCCCCTTTTACTACTTGTCATTTGGAGAATTAGATTTATCAAAGACATGCACAAGAAAAAAAATGGAGAAATGCGACGATTCCGATGAAATAAATCAGGTGCTACGTTTCAATTAATACATATGTATACATGGATTCCAAATATGAAACTTTACTTTAGAATGAAGTATGAACAATAGACAGTACAGATGACTACACTGCTATGTACAATCTTGTTTTTGTATGCGAAATTACATATGTCCGTAAGACTACAAAAACCCCTGTCATAATAAAAGTAAGTTTTTACTTTACTAATTCCATCACTAAATGAAAAAAAATCGACATTTAGCGGGGTTTAGAAATACGAATAAGTATCGTGTTCAATAGAATTCACTAGAACACATATTCTCGGGCCGGAGATACGTCACGGAACGTTCTATGTTGCTAAGACGCGCACAACCGTATTTATATGAGCTCTGCATGTGAGCTGCCGTGGAACTCCGATCAAGAAGCCGGTCACGGTGAAAACAGGAGTGCGTTCGCATTGCCCCCACGGGGTGCCCCAAGTGACGTGGCAGGAGTGACCCGTGGCAACGAAAGGATTCCCCGAGGAAGGAGTTTACACGAACGTGATCCGGGGAAGTAGTATCACGTGATCGTATTGGTCCATTGCTATACAAG